TTTTTAAAGCTAAACGAGTTGTCGTAGGGCAGTAATATTTTAGTATGACCTAGAAAACTATGGTATCTACCGTCAAAAAAAAAATCATAAAAATCGTCGAAATTTTTTTTTTTTAAACTTTATTACAAGAAAACGGCGCGGCCGATCTTTACCAAAAACTAATCAGCACGATTCCCAAACAATATCTATCGAATGGTTTTTGAATTTTCAGAATCGATTCAGAATTGCGGGCTAAAACGTGGACGAAAAATTTTTCACTTTTCTGCAATTTACAAAGAAACGGCCCGGCCGATCGCCGCACAAAACTCAGAAACGATAGTCCTCATCGAGATACATCGAATGGCTTTTAAATTGTCGAAATCGGTCCAGACGTTTTGGAGAAAACGTCGATTTACGGCAAAAAATCTGTTCACACACACACACACACATACTTTTTCCAAATTTGGTCTCATTCGATTCAGAATGGCTTAAAACGTCGAGAAAACATAAAATTAGCGAATCGGATTTTTTGATGAAAACATAAACTTCTCCTTCGGGAAGTTAATATATAAAATATGAATTTGTAATTCATTTTATTCATAATTATAACGTTAAACGTCAATATTTATAACGTTTGTTCGTGAGCTAGATAGAAATAATGCAGAAATATAAAAATAAAACCAAATATTAAATTAGTAACATATTACTAATTTAATATGCAGATTTCGCTGTTAACAGTACAACATTGAACAAATGGCAGTATTTAAATTACAGATTTTACAGTATCAATGTTGTACTTTTAACTTCAGTTTTAATATTTTCCTATAATGAATGAATGAATAAATTAGATACAAAATATAGATGCATTCAATTTTAGAAATAGTAAAAATTCAAAACTTTGCAACTATTTGTATTTAAAAATTAATCTGAGAGTTATTCAGATTTTACTGAACAATTATAAAAATACCAGTAGTGTATAGAATTGTGTTTTAAAGCAAAATAGCCCTTTGTAAAATCAACGACTGCCCTTAGTACCAGATTTGAATTTGGCAAATTTAGGAAATTTATAATATTTAGAAGCTGCCAGTATTACTTGTACTTTGAATAATAAAGGCAATAAAGTAAAAGTCATGTGAAAGTAGACATAAGTTTCCAAATAAAAAATAAAAAATTGATACAAAATATTAAAATATTTTAGAAAAATATATGAGCTAATTGATAAAATTGACAATAAATAAGTAATTATATTTGGCTAAAATGTAAAGCATACTAGCATAATTAAAACATTCATTAAAACATTTTGTCATTAGATTTAATCTGTATATTGAGTATTATAAATTACGAACAAAGTTCATAAAAATGCATTCTATACAAGTGATATAATGCAACGTGTAAATAACTACCAACTCATTTAGACTCACAGACACAACGTGATAATTGCAATTTAAAATAGACGTGTTTTATATGAAACCGACCATAAACGAATGAAATAGCCAAGTTATTTATTGCATAATTATGTGTCCGCAGTATTAAAATAATCAAAAATATTGTAATATGTGCAATTTCAATAAAGTAATAAAATTCACACAAAGAAGGATCAATTTTTATTAAAAGACTCCTATACAATTTCCGTCATTCAATGCTAGAAACTAGAAAGATAAACGTACACCTCAAAATTAGGATTAATCTAAATCAGGGGATACCAAAGTTGGGTCCTTTATGAATCGCTTAATATAAATAAAACATCACCAATAAACTCATAATTATATATATTCTAATTAAACTTTTCAAATAAAAACAGTCATTATCATTTTAAGAGACTATAACGAAAAAGTTTTATTTTTATGTTATTTGAATAGAATTTTTAACTGCTTCTCTTAACTTTATTACGTAGTCACTTTCAGCTCAATTTCATTATATTTGTAATTGACTTTAAAACAAACTTTTTGAATGAACGAACACTTTAGGTTGGGAACAATTATTATTAGAATATTTAAATAGGCAGAGTGACAATAAATTAATTTAAAATTGATTTATTCGACGTTTTTAATAATGAAAAATTAACAAAAACAAATACATATTGCAAACGCAAAAACAATCTGAATATTAAAAAATGTGATGCTTCGAATTATACGTAAAATCAACTCTCAATAGAAAAAATAGTATGAAGATTGGATTGGATTTTTTTTAATGAAAATTGAAGCACCAAGTTTTTTCTAAACGACCAAAAGCCATTAATATATAATTTATGATAAAAATAAACCAAATAAAGTCAAAAATAATTACTTTTGAGTAAAATCACTATTAACTACGAATTGGAATCCAAAAGTGCACTATTATATCAAGGTCTTTGTTGTCTATGAAACTTTACAAGAGGGCTAACTTCAAGGAGAAAAAAATCAATGTGCACGAAATGAACATGAGTTCAAAATATGATGATAATTTAATTTTAAAATATTAGATTCGTCCTACTCATTAAAATCATTTAATAAGGTATTAAATGCATAATAATTTTTCATTAAAAATTAAATTAATAAATATATAAACGTAACTTGAGTATTTTCTTAGAATACTAATAATATGTTCTAAATAGTAATCTTCAGAATGTGACTGTTCTTTACTTCAAAGTTAATTTAATATTATGTAAATTCAGGTTATGTCAGGTCCATATCAGAGCGAAAAACATAACAAGGGAGTTTACGTCGTAAAAACGTTTGGGAACCAATGTAAATCAATTTCGATTAAAATCAGCCAATCAGGTAAGTAAAAAAATTAGCAAGGGCTAGAAGACCTAAAAGCAAACATTATAGTAAGGGGCTTTGGCTTAAGTTTGGGAATCTATCTCCAGATACTGAACTATTTTCCAAAAAAAAAATAAAATCAATCAATCAGGTAAGTAGAGGGTCTATGCACCAGATACTAGTTAAAATCAATTTTGATTAAAAATCTTAATATTAAATTAACTTCGATTAAAAGGCTTCAAGTTTGTTCCGTTTGTAGAAATAGAAAACAAAATCATTTTTGTATTCTAAAACATCTAGATTATTGTTTTACCGTTTTTTAACTCAAAAAGCAATCAGAACTATAAAATTAAAAGTGAAAGGACATATTATGGAATTGGACAGATTAATGAAACAAATATTATGTGAAATTTCAGGATATTATCGTATTTGAAAAATCTTCTTGTATTGTACATGTATTAGTTATGTCCAAAAAATTAAGTGTTGGCTTAAATTTACGAAAAAGTAGTAAAATTACAATTAAAGCAAAATATGGATAATTATCAAGTGGTAAAATATTTTCATCACAAAGTGTATCCACCGCATGTTAGTTCCTGGAGGACACTGTTACAAAACTGTAATGTGCACCTGTGAGACACATTGCCGTATCAAGCGTGATCGATGCCCAAACTACACCCATTTTCAAGACGTGAGAATGTCCCGCACAGGGAATACCCGTTACATTCATCTTATTCACACGATCTACTAACATCAATTCTGTTTATATAACAAATAATTTATTTGAGGACTTTTAAATAATAATAAAATAGAAGTAGACGACAAATGCACGTAAATCATATACAGAAAAATAATAATTTTCTTTCAAGAAAAGCGCATGATCTAAGTAATTCTATATTTAAATCACAGAAAAATTAAAGGTTCGTGGCAAAAAATTGACACTTACATAATTATATAAAAAATCTGTGCATACGTAGCCACACATTAGTCAGTATTATTATTACTGAGTTCGACATAGCCAGGCAAAATAATTAATACCAAAGTATATGCTTCGATATAGATAAATAAAATTAAGAAAACGGCGACGCCTAAAATACTGGCCTGCTCTGAAATTAAACATTTGCTCTATATTTTATATCGTAATCAGAAAAAAAAATCTGATCTGCGATCTTCTTATCGCAGATTAAAATTTTAGAAATATACAGTTTCACCCAATTTTTTTTTATTGGGGCGAAATAGTTTTTCAATTGTATTAATATCACAAAGTATTTATATCACAAAGATGCACGTGTTATCAATAAAAAAAAATCTTAACAAGAAAATCACTCCTATGTGTAACAAAAAATATGAATTTTTAACTTCCCGTAGAATAAGTTATAGTAATCGCACAAAAAAATCGAAAATTTACATATCTTTCAGAGATTTCTGAACATTTTCGCATACTTTATACAAAAACCCCATGTATGTGAGTGTGTGCGGACACAAATTTTCGTCGACGATTTCACGAACACGGGTCAACCGTATTAATTCAAAAAAAAAAAAACATTCTATTCCTATTGATAAGGAGACATGCTGATTAGTTTCGAGGCAAAGGCCTAGAAGTTTCGGAGATACGGGACAAAAAGTGCCACAAATGGTATATCAGTTTGCTTGAAAAAATGCGCAATTGCTTAAAAAAAAAGTTCAAAATTGTCAAAAAAAATCGAAATATTGAATAAATCGAAATATAAAAAAAAACCAAATGTTCCAAAAAAAGTCAATCTTTTCAAAAAAATTTGAAATTTCTCATAAATCAAATTTTTTCAAAGTTTTGCATATTTTAATAATTTAAACACGGTGCCATGCACCACTAGTTTATGAATAATATATGTTGCATAATCATAAAATGGTTTCGCAAATGCCGAGTTGAATTATAATTTTACACGGTATCACTTGCTTGTGTATACGCATATCACTATTTCAGTTTTACACTTTTAACTTGATTTCAATCCTCACGTTTTAGGTACCGTTTCAAATTTGAAAGTGCCTGAAAAATCTACTGCTCTATCGCACGCGATATAAAAAAGAGCCAAATAAAATCGCAAAACGTTACATGTATAATTTATTTAAATCCCTAAAAGTTTTAAAGCCGATGGCTTTCATAAATTAAACAAACCTAATTTACTTTACATACCAACTCAAAAAGCATATAAAAACATGATTATATATTTATAATCAAAATGTTTATGTACAAAACCTTTGAAATTATTATTACATATCAAATATAAAATGAGATACAATTCAGCATTTATTCATCTAATGTTTTCCTCTTTTGTTGCCTACTGGTGGTCTTTGCAAATTAAAAGTATCAGTTGTATTGAGACCAAAACTCACATTTGGTGCTGGTGCTAAAGAATTTGAGAATGATCCTGAAATATATATAAATAGAAAAAATAAAATAAACAGATACTAATAAAGTATGAAGTTGTAAGTCCTACCTGTTCCTAATGCAGGTAGAGTTTGTGCGCTTTTGTTCTGTTGTACACTAGTATTATTGAATATATTTGATCCGAGAAAACCACCTGGCACAAATGGACTTGGACCCACACCATTTTTTGGTACAGGATGATTTGAAATTGAAGCAGGTCTTGCAGCAAAAACATCTGTGGTATCATCTAACATAACTCTGCAATATTGAAGTATTGTTGCTATATATAAAACAATAAATGTTATCACGCCCAAACAATAATTATTGCTTTATTACGAAATATAAAATAATTTAGATAATTTGTTATATATTTACTTTACCTTCTTAATTGTAAATACATTTGCTTCTGGGTTTGCACTTCATGATGGGTATTTTGTAAACGCCCCGCTAATGTTATTAATGTTTCATGAATTTGTTTCATGCCTTGCACTAAATCTACGATTACACAAAAAAGTAATAAAAAAATCCTTTTAAAAATTAATTAGATAATTCTAAACTACAAAATTACCTTGTTCTCCGACTCGTTTTGGTTGAACTAAACTATGTAAGTGCTTGTTTGTAAGTTCAATCTTTTCTCTAAATTTCACTAATTCTTTTTCATAAAATTGTACTAGTTCCATAAAATAAGCTAGGGGCTCTGTATTTTCATATTGTAAGCCTGCAGGCACTTCATGTGTTTTTTGAGCCATCTCGGCATGCATTAAAGCTTTTTTCATGTCAGCTTTCAAACTACTACTGTTAACAGCATTTTTTTGTAAATCAAAAGACATTGATGCTAAAATACCTCTTAAACTGTCAATTTCATCTCGAACCTGAATTAAATATATATAACAATAATTATTCGGATTCCAGAAATATAAATAAATAGTAAATATATATGAATAGAGTATAACCTTTTGTACTGGTTCTATATTTCCACGAGATATATCGGCACTTAATGTTCGCTGGTCACGAACAAATTGTTTAAATGATTCAACAGTACTAGATATCTCATTAGGCAAAAGATTTTCTCGAATAATACTCTCTTCAGGCTTACTGGGATCTAATTTTCGTGGTAGACTAGATGCTTGGGGATCTACACCTCCCAAACCTACCGAAGCCGTTGTTGTCTTTGTCGTAGCACCTAAAATATTAAACATTGTAATACATGGTACACAGAACCAAATACATTTATACTGCTTTTTGAATACTTACCAAATCCGGTGGGAGCCGTGGATGCAGCTGTCGTAGCAGCAGGAAAAGAAAAATTTGTTGTTGCGCCAAAGCTAAAATCACATTGTTTTCTTATCCAGCAGTCAAAATAAAACTATGTTTAAAGATGCAAAATATATACAGCTCGCATTCTACGAATATTTGTTATTCATAAGTAAAATTATTGTACTCACCATTAAATAAAAAGAGAAAAGCACATAACACTGATAAAAAAATCTTCCAAAAAATGTAATAAATAAGCAAATTAAAAGGTGAAAAGCAATTACGAAACCAAGTTATAACATGCGATTAAAAAATTGTAGTAATACAGAAACATATTTTAATATTTTTACATTTGTTAAGAATACTATCTATGAAAATAATGTTTCAAACCATCAAACATCAATAAGATATACATACGGTTATACAAGCAAAAACCATGCATCTGAATATTGATAAAAAAAAAAACTGTTATATAAATAAGTACCTTAGAGTAGTCGCTGGGTTTGTAAAACCAGGTGTTGTAGTAGTTAAAGAAGTTGATAATTGATTGCCTCCAAATAGCGACATTTTGAAGTTTGTTCAAATAATTGTATCCACAAATTTTCAGTCTGTTAGCACACTGAAAATAAAATATACCATATAATTAAGCAACCAAAAAAAGCATTTGTCATTATAAAATTACATTAATTTTGCAATGTGGATTATACTTTATACAATTTCATCATAGACACAAAACATTGAAAGCATTTTTAAGAAATGCTTTATATACATTCTGAATGATTTTTAAGGTTAGAAACAAAATGCAATTGCACACTAACCTTGTTTGATTTATATAAACAATACAATTGGCACTGATAATTGAGAAATGCAATTAAACACCAAATATTTACAATTAAACACCTAATATTTCACAAAGTTATCAATTATCACAGACAAATTACTTCAGTTTCGCAACATTTTGCTTCTGTCACAATGTCACAAATTTCAACGGCGCTTGTGTTTGATATGTTTTGTTGGCAACACTGTCCTTTTAACCACGCGGGAGAATTTTAGGCGCGTAATTTGAATGTACTAGTTATAAAATATAGCAAGTAAATATTCTCATAATTATTATGAATGGATAGCTCATTTAAGTAAAATTATATAACTATTTGGGAGTGCCTGGAATATTATTTACCTTGTTTGAAAACTATTAGAAATACTATATTGCTTGTAATAATAAAATAATAAATGTTACACACAGAAACAAATTGAGGTTCTTCACACTTATCTTATAAGTGCTGTACCAGATATTAATTTAAAAAAAAAAAATTAAATTTGTTTTAAACTTTGAAAAAAAAAAGAGATTTGTGAGAAATTTTAAATTTTTTCAAAAAAAATTACTTTTTCGGAAAAAAATGTTTTTTTTAACTTCCCGTAGATGAAAAAAAAATTTTTTTTCTATATATTTATGTTTCAGAGGTTTCTGAACATTTTGGCATACCTTAGAAAAAATAGATGTATGGGTGCGGATACAAATTTTCGTCGTCAATTTCCGGAACACCGATCAACCGATTTGAATAGTTAAAAAAACATTCGATTCGTATTGATAAGAAGACGTACTGATTAATTTTTGGCAAAAGCAGGTCTAGCCGTTCTGAAGATGCGAGGCAAAAAGTGCCAAAAACGGTAACTCAGTTTTTAAGAAAACGGAGCGTCCGATTTTAATAATTCAAAAAACATTTTACTTATATTGACAAGATGAACAACTGATTGAATTTTTGGGAAGGCAGGTCTAGCGGCTATAGTCTCCCAATAAAAATAAGTTAAAAAAATGTCATTTGGCGGTCAAAAATTGAACAAATGTATATCAAATTATCATATATTTTATAGAGATTTTAATAACGTGTATACATTTTGTGTATTTTTTTTGGTTCCTCACCAAGATTTTAAGTTACGGTACGGGATGTTCCAGCAATTTACCTTAAGGCAGTTATAAATTATTCTTACCAAACTTCCATGTTTCCTGGTCCTTTCGGCTGGTCCTGTATTTCATCTTCTCGCGTAAGTCATCAACCATCTGCATTATTCTTCTTCCCAATCCGTTCAGACCTTCTATTTTGTAGAAGGCACTCTTTTTGCAGAATGGGTACGATCCAGTTTCCTTTTCTTTTCAGGATCGTGCTGAGTAGAGCCCTTTCTTCTCCTTCTCTTCTTATGGTTTCTGCATTTGTTATCTTGTCAGTCCACTTTATCATTTCCATTAGCCTCCAGCACCACATTTCAAAACCTTCCAGATAGTTCTTGTCGGTTTCTCTTAGAATCCATGTCTCTGATCCATACAGAGCTATGCTCGTAGTACAACACTTTATCAATCTCTTCCGCAAGTCGAGACTCAGTTTGTCAGTAATGTTCTCTTCTTCGTGAAAGCCGCCTGGCGGTTGCGATCCTTGTCTTGATCTCTCTCGTTCAGTATCCATCTCTGATTAGGATGCTTCCTAAATATTTGAAATGATCAACGTCTTCCAATCCTCGATTTCCTACTGTAATCTTCAGAAGATCATCTTGTTTTGATACTCTCATCATTCTCGATTTGTTGATGTTGATCTCCATTCCGTATCTTCTGCCCACTTTTGTTCTACCTATTACTAACATAAAATATATATTATTTATACTAGCTATCAGGCAGTGGTGATAAATTAAATTTTAATATAATTATAATTTTTTACCAGAAAAATTAATAAAATATTATTTTCATTGCTCAGGGTGCACTTTTTGTTGAAATAATTATTTATGAAAGGGTTATTTCATATCTAATGAACTTATATTATGTTGCTGATTATTAGGAGATCATTTAGGTTGCTAATTAGTATTTGTAATTGTAAGTGATTGATTACAATGGTTAGTATAATTTTAATAAATCATTTAAATAAAAACCTAAACTTTATAAATATAATGAACAGAGAATATTACTTGTTACAAATTAGTGATCTTGACTCGGAATTATTTCTTCAGCAATGTATCTGCACAGAGTTGATGTAAATTTTAAATAATGATTGAAAAAATAAAATTACCTATTTTATATTGCAATATTTTATATAATAATATGGTTATATTATTATATAAAATATTCCCACAATGATATCATTATCCACAACAATCAGGTATTCTATTATAAAACTTACTAGTAGTATATACGTTACGATTGCCAATACATATTCAATGCAAAATATGATAAACAATATATGTGAAATCACGTGAACATTAATTGTTTTGTAAACCACATATGACTTTGTTTAAACAAGAGTTGTGTTGACCCATAATATCTTCATAACTCTTAATGAATATTTATTTGTTTAGAATAATTGTATTATATAAAAATGTAAATTCAAAACATCGAGTAGGCAATAACGTATGTGAACGATTATTTTGCTGTGATATAAGCCTGAATAAAAACCTTATATTATTTTAAATTATTTGGTTAAGTAAAAATATTAATTGGATGGAAAAAGATGGAAAGAAATCCTTAAGACAAGATTCTTCAAATTCTCAATATGTGTTTAAATTATGTTGCTCACATTTTCCAATTTTGGTCCAATGATTCAGAATGATCGAAATTTTTAGAGAAAGTATAAATTCGCCTTTCCTTCGAAATAATTAGAAATGTATTTAATAATGATGCACCCTACAGTGTTACGTTAATATGGTATGATCATTGAAATCAATTATTTTACATAATTTATGTAAGTTGGAATTTTTTGGTTAGATCATAAATTAAAATTTTTAAATTAGAAATGTTCGTTCGTTCGTTTTGCCAGAAATTCCACATAATCTTTACTACCGTGTGTGACTTCCAAATATGTTCGGTAATTAGTAAAACATTCTCATCAGCCTGTAATATGCTTGTTCGCTTATCTTATTTGCATAATGTAATGAGTTTCTTGTGTAAATTATATAAATGTATCTTATTAGAGCCAATGGCTTTTACAAATAGTCCAATACTTGTGACATATCTCTTGATTTCGAGAACATCTTTGGGAAAATCAATAATCATTAATTACCTAGTTAAATTGAATCGAAAATAATAATCATCACTTTACTTATATTATATGATAAGTTTTTATAATTGTAATGCAACATAATTATTTATCATTTACTAAAATGAATATATAAATAATTTGTGTATTTATTGGCGCAATACAAACCTGTTTTTTTTTTAAAAAATACGTTAAAAAATTGGGGGAAAAATGTTTCTATACGATTCTATAAATAACTCTAATCTATTTTATATATTTATTTCGAAGTCGAAGTCTATTTTATATATTTATTTTGAAAATGAGGCAAACTATAGTCAAAATAATCAACTAAAATTCTCAAAAATGTTAGAGACTCTTGATTTCAAGAATATTTATGAGAAATTTATTAATTCTAAGATAAAATTTCATTCGCAATTTGTTAATAATAATAATTTTGTCTGTTAATATATGTATCAAATAAAATAAAAATAATCAAAATTATCAATTGAAATTAAATTGAAATATTAAAGCAACAAATTGAGATATAGAGCAAGACACCATTACAAGAATTTTCTAATAAAATGTTGCATAAATATAAGAGAAATTTAATATATACAATAAAGATTTTATATTTAATAATTGTAATATAATATTTTATAAATTCTATTAAAATACATTAATTAATAAGTTACTTAATTCAATAAACTTTCATTTATTCTTTATATAGCACTTACTGACAAAATTTTTGCAAATTGCTTTACATTATGACTTCATGTTTTGAATAAATGAGTAATTAAATATTGTGCATAAACTTTCACAAATAATTTGCAAAAATGACACTGTTTCTGATGATTTTGTAATTTTGTGGCGTTTTCTGTATATTTAAGAGTTTTAAAATAAATAATTTTTTATTTGTCAACTGAAGAACTCCTTCCTTTACGTGATATATAGGGTGGGCCACTTAAAGTGCCCACTATATTGTTTCTGAGAAAATATATTGTTTCTGAGAAAAAGATATGAAAAAATATTAATAAAAATACCTGCAACCTAACTAATTAATAATGTTTGTTCATATATTTTTACAGAAACCAATGGTTCTGTTTTAAATAGCGATTCCATTTTAAATGACCTACCCATTAAATAAATTTGAAATCAAAAAAATTACACAATACCAGAAAAAATAAGATACAAAGTTGTGAATAAAAATCTTTATAAGCTTAATTTTTCTGTGTCATCCTAAAAATTCAGATATTTGTCAGATTCTTTTTTGATTTATGAGTATACCGACTTTTTTACGAGTCCTTTTTTATTATAGTATTTTAGATAACTTATTTTTTTCCTAATATACTACTAAAATATCACTAGTAGTTTACGAGAAATAAATTATAAAATAATTAAGTACACCCTGATAATAAATTCTGATGCAAAACTAATTTTTCTTGGTATCAAATATCACTAATATTTTAAAAAATATAAATTATGTAACGAATAATAATAAATGCACCTTGATAACAGTTTTCATTTAAAATGCAAATATTATTCGGTTTCTTTTTCGACCTATGAGTATGCCGAGCCCTTTAGAGCTTTAGAGTCCTTTATTATCTTTAATATGGAAATTGCTTAAAACTATGTGCAAATAGCAAACATTATGCAATTTGCTTGAGAATATTAAGTGCTAAATATTTTTGCTAGCAAACCACTTAAAACTCAGGAAGCTCTACATAACAAATTATTATAATTTTATTGCAACACTTAAAATAAGGTTCAAAAGTAGAGTTAATTATATCAGAAACTTTGTTACTATTATTTGATGTTTTATTTGTTTACAATTTCGAACTATAAAATTTATTTATATGTGCTCTGGTACGCTATAAATACAATATATACAATTATTTTATTTTTTCAAGTTAGCATGAATACTAAAAAAATACATGACGATATCAATAAATACGCACGAATGA